GCTAATCCAAGCTTCCTTCGCCTAGCACGTTTGTCAAAATAGAAGGCGAAACGGACCATTTTCCCCCTCATTTCCCAAGTTTCTTTTCCTCTCCTGTAATGAAGATAAGGATTTCTCAAGGAATGAAAAAATTTCGAAAGATTTGAGCATTGATTTTCCGGCCGCTGTTTTCTCCTGTGCTACAACAGTGTAACAAAGTGCGACAAAATTATCCTCAGTATAAAAGCATAAATTAATGAAACAAGTGTGGGTGTAATTTTGCAAGCCAGCTGAAATATAATACTCTGCATGTCAAATTTTTGCACCTGCTGCCAACAAGATTTGTTTTGTCCTTGCAACTTTGCTGGAAGTGAAGCAGAAATTGCTCACCTACCCAGGTGCTGGGCTTTAGTAACGCTGAAAGGTATCAAATGAAGTTACCTCGATCTGTGGAGTAACTTACTGTAGTTATGGAAAAAGTGGGGAGTCAGAGGAGTTATTTCTGCCATTTACGTGTCAGCTTTTTTTCACTGATTCAATGTTTTTCTGTTTTTCAAGAGGGCATCGAAGAATGTTGATAAGAAGAGCGACAAATCCTTCATGAACCCTTTTTCAGCAGTTTTTGTGATTTTATTTCTGGAAAATATATTCCTTGAACAGATTGCGTTGAGCTGATCAATCCCCTAGATCATCTGAAAAAGGCGATTTAGTTCTTCAACGTATTTTTGTACAAATTCTTGACATTTCATCGTGCATACAATTTGACTCAGACGGAATTGGCATTGTTGGCCAGTACCACGGTGACTATACGCCCATCCCTGACATTTGGACTAGAGTAGTGGAAGAGGTGAATAAGCGGTAGAGGTGGGCGTCGGAAATGACGAATTCTCCATCGCACTGTTGACTTTGAATGCCGTCTTTAGTTTGACCATGAAATCACCATGGAAGCAGCCTATCGAGGGTGGAATTGGGCCTTCATGAATGCACTTGTGTGCCTTTGCAATCGTTTTCGGCGGAATGCTATCGTTCCAAAAAAATCACTTCCGTCCACTTTTTGAAAAGCTTCCACTGCTTAGCATGACAAAATCAACAATCATTTCAACAACTCCCCCGCAGGTGTGCAAATGGATTTGCCTGGTACCGGGGCTGTAACCGTTTTTATCCAAAATTGATTCAGCCGATTAAATAGAGCTATGATTTCAAAATCGGATACGTGGACTGAGTGAATCAGAAAACAGCAATCGCTGGAAATATGAATGATTAAGTGATCAGAACTTTATGCCTTTTCATTCTTCATACGCACAACAAGCAGTTCAAGGCGGATTTTACGATGAAAAGGCAACCCATTAGAAAATTAAGTTAGAAGATGCTTAGATATGCATGAGAGAAGAAAAAACCGAGAAAATGGACCTAGAACCCGTAAATAGTACTCCTTCCTCGCCCGTTGATTTTCCGCATTGAGGGCGACTCTCGATCGGTTAGCCCTCCGTCAACCGCTCCGCCTGCGCCCGAACGCTAGAGACTCAGGCCGTCACAGAGGGGGGACGACGCGAGAGGGAGGCGTACCGAGCCAATAGCACACCAACTTAGCCGCGGGGAAGGCCGTGCTAGGCCTCCGGGGCATATCCTCCGTTCCACTAGGTAAGTTTAAGTTTCCTCTTCTTCGGTCTTCGTCCCTGTCGTAGAATCCTCCTTAACCCATTACCGAACGCGTGCTGCACCATGTGCAGCATTACTCCACGCGAAAATGAACCGCCTCTTCAACATGTTTACCATTTTTTTGAGCAACAAATTCGCCAAAGTAAGCGTTCTTGGGCACAGAAGTTATCATATATTTGAATACTCATAAACGTGCTGCCTGATTGTTGGTTACTCATAAAACAGATGACAAAATTCACGGAGGTGCACACAAAAGCGGTCCGCGATCTGTTTAAAAGAGTTGCTCTCTCGATTCGACCCTTTCTGATGTGAACTTTATAACTAGAAGTCGATTTTATTTGCTTCCGTAAATGGATGTCGCGAAGAGTTGACGTAAGTGGGTGGTACGCAACTGTCAGCACAAAAGTCGCTGTCTATTATGCACAGGCCCCGGCTCGTACGCCGCATAGGCCAACCAAGGCTTTCATCCTACTGGGGTCGATTAAGTGGTTCCAGACCTGTCTTTCCAGAAAAGTCTGGAAAGAATTACTTAAAGTTTGACCTGTACGCCTTCGAAAACCATTGAGCCAAATTGCCCTCACAACGCTGCTACTATTGAATAGAAATGGGATTCGTGGCGCATCCCGAGAGAGGTTGATCATTGATGAAATTTTAGCTCTGTTTATCCTTTATCATGAAAACCACCAAAAAGACCCAGTGTGCCTTGAAAATGGCACAATTGGTGAGATATTTAACAAGACTCACATCTGGGTTTATCGATGCTGTTATCAATCAGCGTCGGTACTTGTTTTGTGATCTCCAAAGCGGCTGCTTTCCGACGAGCCAGCACACCTGTTGAAGAATTCGACGAAGACTCCAAAGAAACGTTTTCTCTGAAACTCGTTCTTGAACCAGTGGTTGACCTAAAATAACGGCCTCTGCTAGAATTTAGTTCAATTCTCTAATGATTCTGTAACTGAAACGGCTTCATGCATAATCCATCAGGCCGGCCATTTGCCGGCTTGCTCCCAGAATGTGGCAAGTGGGTAGGCGGCGTTACCGGCATTATTTTGAAATGGGTATTACAATAGCATCAGTGGTTGAAAAGCTGTGAAAAGGGTAGCAGATACACCTTACTACTCTAAGTGGTATCAAGGAAGAGGTGGCATGTAGGGATTGTTTAAAATTACTTCCAAAAAAGCTTTCCCTTCGTAAACGGTTCATTTCCATGACCACTCCCTTAGCTACCGTAAAAACTGGGACGAGTTTCCTTTCTCGAACTATTACACTGCTCCCGTGAAAGTTACAAACTGGTTCAGGAGCGCCTCATGAGCTTCTTTGGCTGATTATCACCGAGGTGGCTATCAGGGACGTCCCAGTTATTAGATCAGCGCTCACACCTTTTTTGTTGGTAAGTCGAGTTCTCCTGTGAACTTTTTGCTTTTGAAACGTGCATTCTGAAAATATCGTCCAGACAAAGCAACATCCTTGACGCGGCGATGCGTGCCACTTCCAGAATATCGGGTCGAGAAGCTGGCGACACAGTGAGGCATGATGAAATTAGCTCAGAGAGGTCCCTGCAACGGAAAGTTCTGTTTGTCCTGTTTACTTGGGCACGCTTTTCAGACTGTTTACTTTTTACTAGGTTCAACAGGCCTTCGTTTCAGCTTCTTCGCATTCATTATGAAGATAGAGAAGAAGCTGAAACGAAGGCCTGGTGGATTGTACAATATTGAAAAGCGAACGATTAAACCGTCTATAATCGTTATTCTAAGGTTGCAAGAGAGTCGAACGCGAAACATCCTGAGTTCTGGACGGTTTTTCGTTCAGAATTTGATATTCTGTGTTGGTTTAATCTCAAGGATCTCAGTTCAAATCTTCTTTTAGACCGATGCCGCCCAAGCTTGGTGACGTACTTCAGGTCTGGATCAGGAATTTGGACATGAGGCCGCGCGGACACACATGGTTCTACGCGTGGCAATTCTTATCTGATTCTTAACCCGAATTTCTTATTGTATGTAGCATGTTCGGGTCAGAATAAGCAGACAATAGGCGCGCGTGGCGCCGTTATCGCCGCCCTCTTAAATTTCCAAGTTGTGCACACCCGTCGGGCCTAGTCTGCCTAGTAAACTTACTAACCACTGGGATGGTGTCCGCTTGCGGTGACAGACTGGTCTTTTAAGGAAGACGATCGGGTCAAAACGTGAGGCCGTTAATAGGTGTCACCTAAAATCCTCACTGGCAGAAAAAGCACTGAGCATAACAACGAAGCAGAGGTTCTGTGAAGAAAGAGCTTGAAGATTGAATTTGAACCCCTTTTAATCATTTTCTGAAACTCATCTTTGGAACAGAAAACGATACCTTAAAGGCTAAGTTAGGCTCAGAACCCACTAATGAGGCCTTACGGTGCTAACAGCGCTATGTACCGCTGTTTAGGTCCCTGCTTCGAAAACCGTTATTTAGACGCTAGGCGCTAAGAACTTTGACACGCTCCTCCTGCTGCGACACGCTCCGCCCACCGCTCGATATCTTGTCTACGTCGGAATGTTGATCTGCTATGCTCTCTCTACTTAGACTTCTCTAGCGCTCTCCGCACTCATATTATCTCTCATCTCCCTGCCGGCCTTTTGAACTTCCCCGCACCGTAGAGGAAACGGCTCGTATTTTCTAAGCATTTCACTATTTTTTCTCTCTTTTCTGCGCTGGAGGTCCACTACCTACCCCTACCTTCACATTTGAGTGGAATTACCTCATAATTCAATCCTAAATCTTGCCTTTGAAGGAATCTTCCACGGAAAGAGTGATCATTTTGTCTTGTGTGTAGGACTAGTATCATCGAAACTAACGCTTATGTTCCGTTCTTTTTGCTATGCTTATGAGGCTAGGGGCCTGAGGGGTATCGTTTTTCTAGGGTAATGGAGGCGGAGCTTTTTCCGCGGAAGATTCCTTTACCGATCAACTTTTCTGTGAGGAAATTTCGAGTCATGAGATCAATCACGTTAGCGATGTAGCCAAAAATTGCAGGCTCAGTGTGGTCTTGTACAATAACGGGAAGGTCGTCGTGCACTGACGGCGACGGTGCTCTTCGAGCGACTTGTTCGGGAAATTACGCATCTGCTCTAGGGAGAAACGGAAACGGTAGCCCTCTTGAAGCTTGTTGGTCGCGATTGGTTAATCCGCATTTTGATGACAGTGAAAAAGGCTGTCAAAGGACATCCAGTAATATTTATCCCGATAACTTTGCTTACCCTGCTACGCAGCAGTAATCTTAGTGATGTACCCTATGACTAAGGCGATGTGTTCGTCCTCCTCCCCTTCTGTACGTTGAACCATGGTGTAAAGCAGTCGGAGCATGATTCCACGAGCTTCACATGGAGGACGAGCTTAATATGAAGACGGGACGACTTCTAAGCAGGGTCAAATGTTCGTACAGAATTTTCCTGAGGAGATAGGTTTGCGGTTTCTGGGACGATTGGGGTGTGCAAGGTGGTAGAGGAAATTAGCTCAAATAGACAGGATATCCGAAATCTGCCTTTTCAGGAGCTGCACACACCTTAACTACCTTTTCCTCTTCTAGGAAGTGGTCATAACAAAATTGACACAATGTGGTGATTGTTTCTCTTGTTCAGCAATATTTATGAGAAGTGGAATGATAGACATGCGGGATCACGCGCTCCGCGACAGAGACATTAGTGATGGCCGCTCGAGACACGCGCTGGACACCGGAATGCCAGCAGCGATAACAAATCACCAATGATTGTTGGAGCAGAGTGAGGTAATTTGAAAAATCCTCGACAGATGGGTCGTATGGAGAGGGAAGGACAGTGCGTTTCGATGGATGACGAGAAGGGTTTTTCAGAAATAACTCAACAACTGGAACAATTGGGCAGCTATTTGGAAATATCGCCATGCAACACCACTCGAGAATTCTCTTAGGGGGTGTTTTGCTGGAATGCTGCCATCATTACCCCTTTGACAACAATGGCCGGGTCTCAGGACATCTGTTAACCTTTTAGCGACAATGGCACCCACCGGTGGGTGCCACTATGTTCGTCGCGTGGGACAATGGTACCCAAGTGGGTGCCACCTTAAAATTTCCTACTTTGTGCATTCAAAACATTTGTAACACCCCAATAATTATAAACAAGTTTCATAATATCTATGGTTGGACTTACAGAAATGTTAACCAAGAGCTAATTTATATAATAGAATTTTAGAATGTGGCATTTAGCTCGCCACCATATTAATTGGGATTTTAAATTATTAGGCCGAAGATTGATTACTGATCAGGACTTCTTCGTCTTCTCATAGCCTTCAGATATGGGAAGGGGTTTGAAGTGTACCCGAAACTCTCTTGGACACTGAAGTTTTCATTTTGCCCTCTTTCCCTTTAAAACGCGAGTTCCCCCGTCCAAACTTGGAGTTCTCTTAAAAATAATTTACAGTATGAAAGCCTAGAAGTGCAGTTGTAACTGATATACTGTTAGAGTCGGGAAATCTACAGAAAATTGCTTTAAAGGACAATTTTTCTGATTTTGAGCGAGAGCTGGGCGCGCCAAAAACAGGCGTGCTCCCACGAGCAAGCTACGTGCAAATCCGCATCGTCGTCAAAGGGGTATAAAACATTCATTCATAGAGATGGAAAAAAATAAATGTATCATGAAATATAATTAAATGTAAATTTATATGCGGTCAAAGAGCGACCGGACCAACCTCTAAGAGTGACTTACTTGCTGCGATCGGGAGAGATTGGAGCATATTTTCCCTCAACAATTTGCGTGGCCAGTGCGAGCATATTCTGTGAGTAAAATGGTGGACGAAGCTCGACCATCTCGTAGACGCAGCACCCGAACGACCAGACATCCGCCTTTTCACCATATTCCATATTTTGGACAATTTCGGGACTAGAACACCAAGACTCGATGGTTTCATTGGTGAAGAACTGCTACACTCTCACCAGCTATAAACAATGGTTCCTGCAGCTGACTTCAGGTATTCACTGCCGCGTTTTTTGGCGAGTCCAAAGTCCGCTGAAAAAGAGATTTGTGCGAGAGTATGTTGTTTTGAATGGATAAGCGCAGGTGGTCGATGTGGAAAGAGGCGCTGCTACCACGACCACTGGACGAGGTTCCATCTAAGACAACAGATTGTTAAATCCTTAAAAATCAATTACTCAGATCTTCGGATTTTTTGAATGATGCTGTATTGGACTAAGAGGAACCCATGTAAGTATTGGCCCACTCACGCATTTCATTACAGAGGGTAATCTATGGTTTGAACCTTTGCGATCATGGATGAAAGTAGAGCGCCTGGCGCATCCTGAAGGTATCGAAAAATCAATTATTGATTGCTTTTGAGCCACGTCCTTCAAGAGAATGATTACTTTTCCTACATTTGGGATTTTATTAGTTACACAACGCGTTAGCAGAATAAAAGGATAAGGACGAATAAGGACAAAATATTCTGTGTGATTTCATTTCTGGAATACACCACTCAGTTCTCATAGTGGTGTTCAACTGCGATAAGCATTATAAAAGGAGCCGCGTGGGATGTTCGGACATTTCTCTATCTTTCTCGACAAACATGCGCTGAATATCCGATCTAGAAGAGAACTTGATCTTAAGAAAAAAGATCAAAATGCGAACTGTGATATATAGACAGGGTCAACGGTCACGTTGGACCGATATTGGAGCGACGTTGGACCGATGTTGACCGCTCTCCGCGCCGGCATTCACTCTCGCCACCCGCGAGCAGTCTGTGTCTCCGTGCGTACGTCCACTCTCGGCATTACTCTCGTCGTCGCGTTGGACTTTGTCCAACGGACGGTTGACCCTGTATATAGACGCGATATTATCACACAACCTCGTATACATCCTACATTAGAGGATTCCACGATGGTGGGAGGTCCAAGAGACGGAAGTATACCTGGACGAGATGCATGCGGGCCCCTAAGGGAGCGGACTAATTCGCATCGAAGGATGTGGTCTCGGCGACCTAGCATGGCCGTACCCGCGCCGCCAGCGCCTGACCTAGCCGTTCAGCAGAGAGAGAGAGAGCGCGCTAGCGTTGAGGAGCACAGCACAAAGTGGGAGTCGCATAGTAGGGAAGTTAACGGGCAGATGCCATCTTCTCATAGGTATTTTTCAACCTTCCTGCATGTGCGTTCTGCTCTTTGTAACTACCGTCGCAGAGTCCGTGTAAAAGTTTGGGATGGCTGGGCATAAGTCAAGGCTGCAGACACTTATCCAGACGGCGAAGCTCACCTAGATCGGCGGGCGTTGCCACCTATATTGGAGGTTCGAATGGCTAAACTTTTTGAGCTTCAGTCCTATCAAAAGACAAACAGGTGAGGAAGTTAACAGGAAAAAACGTGATGAGTTTGGCTTAGTCCAATAGGGGATCCGCTGGGCGGAGAGTTCCGCGAACAGGCCAGTGCTGCAATAGAAACGCGCATTCGGTTCAGAAAAGCTCGAAGAATACGAAAAGAAATCGTTAAGGGAGAGCAATATCTAAAGGTGTTCAGAATATCTAAACTCATCGGTAAGTACCACCACAGTGGGCGAGCGCTTCTTGAGTGCTTACTGTTTAATAAAACCTCATCAACTAGTCGTAAAACCGCCTCAAGCAACCGGGGAGAAAAGTGAGAGGTCTGACAATGGATGAATAAACATTCTGTGGGTGGGGCGTAAGACAGGAAATTATCTACCTAACTAGATACTTAGACCGAGTCCCGTTGATCATCCGGCGGTTGGCCTTGCGCGGGGTCCCAACTTCTCTTTCCTTTGCTCGGTCCTTGGCTCGTTGTCCAGGTACGGCCACCTTAATGGACACAGGATCATACACGTTGTTTTTCTGTATCCAAGAGTCTGCCGCAATCGTAAAGGAGGGCGGCCACAGTGGCCGTTTCTTCTCGTCGGGGATGCCATATGAAGCATTCTTCGAGCTCGCAACGTCCATCGTTTCTTCTGATCAAATTCCAGCAAATCGGGTGCTTCGCTCATTGAACGTGAAACCAAAACCGTCCTTGGGAATCGACATAGCTCCTGACGTCAGAATGGCAGGCTCAGTTCTCTTGACGGCTGCAGCGTTAGGCTATCAGCACGACGTTCAATTGAATGCTGAGCGATTGAAGCCTCTTTTCTAGCGATTTTTGTTAAGTCCAGGTTTTCGTCAGCGTGAGCATGAGGGCAGGTCAGCAATGAGGAATTTGAAACAGGGCGGCCCGGAGCTCCGATCCTTGTAATCTTCTGCAAACTTCTTATTGGTAAAGGCGCCCATCAGCTTAATCGACGTACTCGCTAGTCTCACACCAAGATGTCTCATGTCATGCTGACTGTCCCCAGGTATATGTACTCCTCAACGTCTTGCGATTGGAGCTTCCGTTCAAGAGTACGGGCCGTAGCTGAGATGCATGGCCCATGACATATCGTTTTGGAGGTGTGATAACGAGATCCGCAGGACGTCTTTCCTTCCCGCCAAAGATTAGGATCTCAGATGATGCTCTGGCGAATCCGTAATCAGACGATGTCATCGGCAAATCGGGAGTGATTTCACACGCATGCCAGTCGATGTTGATTATCTTGCGGCTGCTCGTGTTGTCAGCGGAGGATCACGGATTCCAGACAGGCAGGCGAAAGAGGTTAGGTGACATGATCGCTTGTCGCACGCCTTTCTCAACTGCAACAACAACGTTATTGTAGAAAGGGCGAAACACTGTTGAACATTCCGTGTAGCATTCACGCAGCACATCCACGTACACCTTTGCGACGCCTTGGTCTTCCAGCGCCCTCCATACCTTCGTTGGTTCCACTGAATCGAACGCCTTCTTGTAGTCAATGAATGTCATCACCAGAGGCAGTTGATGCTCGCGCGATGCTTCGATAAGGCGTCGACAGGTCATAATATGGTCGAGCGTGCTAAAATTGCGGCGAAAGCCTGCCTGCTCTACTGGCTGAGCCTCTTCCAATGTTCGTCGGATACGCGCCAATATGCAACGCGTAAACAGTTTGTAGAATACCGGCAGCAGAGTGATGGGACGATAGTTTGCCAGGTCTTCTTTATCGCCTTTCTTGAACAGTAACACTGTCGATGACTGCTTCCACGCCCTTGGAACAGCACATTCAGCTACATAACGCGTAAACCTATTACCTACCCCCCGTAAACCGGAATTATCTACTAAACATCAAAACTCGATTCCAAAAAGTCGCGGAGATCGGGTTGAAAGTGGTTAGAGTCCGACAACCGGAGGTAGGTACAGAGCTGCTGGTGGGTGGGTTGTGCACCAGAATGGGTAGAGTTACACACAGAGTAGCGTATCTCTGTTCAAAAGTCCTGGACACCGAGAAAAAAGTGAGTGAGCCCGACAACGGAAGAAAGGTCAATATGTATTGGTAGATGGGGCGCGCGCCGAAATAGACAGAGTTTGTCACGAAACGTTATGGTTAGGCTCGAAGAAGGCCCAGACGTTGGGAAAAAGCGAATAAAAGCTGGCGAGGGAAGTGAGGTCGAATGCTATTAGTGGATGGCACCGAGGTGGGCGGAAATTGCTATCTTTTAAGGAGAGACGTGCCTGTCTCAAGAGACCAGCTATGATCGGCTGGTTCGAGCACTGTAGATCGAGGAGCAGGCGGTGGTTGTTGATCGCGGGGGTCATAGCAGACCACCAAAATAAATGAAATAATAAATAAATTCTGACAAATAACACAGAACGTATGTTTCAGTTGGGAAGGTGTCCCATATTCCCTGTCCAGAATGTTCGTCTCTTCATACTTCCTTCAATGTTTGAGTGCTGGAATCCGGTAGCGGCCGACGCGACATCGCGAGCTGCGGCCACTACCGTAGCAATCTAGCCAGCACTGCGATTGAATTAACAAACACCATGTGAAACAGCTGACTTCCGAAAGAGCGTCGTCTCTACTTGGCGCGTGATGGGCACTGGATGTGTCTGGTGATTGTTTCACGCGGAACGTTGCGTCACTTGGTGTAATCATCCCATGAGCTTCAGCGGGGAGATCACCCACTCCGGACTCGGTTTACATCTACCTCCCCGCCGAAAAATGAACCGCCCTGCCAGAGGGAAACGGTTCTAGCGAAATGTCCCTATGCATAGAAGGGGTCCACTATTTAGGGTGGCAGGTACTTTGGGAGCTGTAACCCGCAATACAGAGGGGCTAGGCTCAACAAAAGTGACCGAGCGATAGCCTAAGTGGCACAGCGAGGACAGCCTTACCATTAGTGGCTTGTTATAGGGAGCCTCACCAAGTGGTAAGTGGCTCGAGTTGATAGGCCTTAGTGGCTTGAATTTATAAGCCTTCGCGGCTGTGAATTAAAAGAGCTTCTGCTGCTCGATGTAGGAAGCCTGTGTGGCTTATGCCAAGGATCAGTACGCGCCGTGCACCCGACTGTGGTCCCGTATTCAGTGGTCGCCCTCGAGTTCGCCAACTACGACTCGCCTCCGTGTCTCCGTTTACTATTAATCTTTCCAAATATTACTGTTTATTGATTTGTTTGTAAATGAATCTTCATTCTTTCTGCTTGTCTTCCACGCATAGTTTGAAAAGGTCACTAATCCGCGTCGCAGCGCACGAATCCAGGTTATCTAATGTTACATGTCAAGCACTACCGAGTCAAACTGGTTAGCTTATATCTTGCCTGTACATGAAATTCTGAGTCAACAGAATTCCTGCCAACGCACAAGAATTTGGTTGGTTCAATTGTCATAAGGTAACGCGGCTTTTCATAACATCGTTGGTGGCCATTCAGGCGGGCTACTATTCAAAGCCAGGAAATTACGCATTCGGTTAGTACGATTTCTACTAAGTTGCTTAATAGTTTAGTTGTGGAAGCTCGCTCTCAGTTCAAATACACTTACAACTTCTAATCGAACCTTTAGGATTCTGCATTCGAAGAATTGAAAAGCATAGACCGTTCTTAAGCTATGTATCGGCCACTGAGAGTATTTTTTTTAATTCTCTCGAGAAAGGTTCGTTCAGTAACACAAGAATAAATTGGATATGGTTGTCATATAAGAAGGGTGGTAACTCATTAGCACATCGCAGCCCGCGTGCATCGCCGGGTATACACGTCGAAACTCCCACATCTGACATTTGTGCATCGCCCGGTATGCATACTGATCTCAAGCTCACCTTATATCTTTTTTTCATTACTTCTATAACTATAAAAGTTCCACTAGTGCCTCGAATCCACTAAACGCATGGCTGCTCTCCATCTTCAATTTCAAGATATTTCTGGAATTTCAATTTGCACAGCCAGTGCCTCAGTTTGAACTCTCATGAACTGTTTAACAAAAATTTTCAGCGGCTACTAATTACTGAGTTTATTTCTGATGAAAAGCCGAGCAATAAATAGCGCGAAGCGAAAGAAAAAAAAGCGAGAAAAAGTAGAACAAAGAAAGGACAAGAGTGTTGTCGTTGTTGTAAGTTGTTGGCAGCCCAATGGGGAGATTGCAGTTGAGATTGTGTGGGTCCTGTGGCGAAATACATGGGTCTTGTAGCAGAGATATACGGGCCCTGTAGAGAAATCACGCAAAATGTCCCGCATGTGAGGTTTGGGCATCGCCGGTTTGCAGGTAATGCAGCTAAATCGCATATGTGACATGCGCCGAAATCAGTGCGGGCGTCGATGTGTTAAGCCAGTATAGGGAAATTAGAAACAAAGGGAAAAGCACAGTAGTACAAGAAACGACTGGACACTGACTTACGACTACTCGATCGTTTTCCGCTATCATAATGTTGTTCGGCTTCAGATCTCTGTGAACAATTTGTTTGTCCTTGTGCAAATAGCGCAGTGCCAACACCATCTAAAATGACCAACGGATTGAAACCATTCACTATCTCACTTCTACCATTGCTTTCTGAGAGGAAGAACGTGGAGCGCATTTCAAGAATAAGTAAATACAGGGACGCCTACGGAATAGATTAGCATGTTCTAATTATTTTTCCCCGCAGATGCTTCAAGAATATGAAATAAAAAGTAGTGAAAGTAGTTCGGGGTCCGTTATTCCTTTGCGCTTTTTGATTCCCAATTTCCTGTGAGGTTGAAAGCTGGAACCTTCCGTCTGATTGAAAAATTCAGTTCTGAGCAATTGAACTAAAAATGTGATGCAACGTATCGGAGTCGCAACAATGCCTTTCAAAAGAGTTTTTCACTCTTCGCTTCTAGCTGCCCTGGGAAAGAATAAGTTTTGTAGTTAACTCCAAGTCAAAGCCTCTATAATGAAGAACCATTTCAAAATGCGGTTCACGTGCTGAACAATTTCCTTGATTACAGTGAAAGCAAGGAATATAGACACGTACTTGGATGACAATATTCCAGATGCGATCTTCAGAAAATGTCTGACGTTTCTCTTTGACCGATGTGATATGCTCTTTCAGCGAGGCACCCTCGATCAAGTCCATCAGTATGTAGAGGCGATGATTTTCGACGAAGATCCGCCGATACCTTACGATATTCGGGTGACGAAGCTGTAATGGGAAGCCTCCTCAAACAAACTAGGAATGGAAGGACTCAGCCACTAGTTGTCATTATGTCCTTGAAGGTATGCCCAGGATCAAATCAGTGTGGTTCTTGCGCGCGAATACGTATGAACTGGTGCGAAATGAATCGGCGCTGAAGTGAAAAGGGAAAAGAATTTTCTGGAAACGCTTAGGTTACGGGCTCACCCACCTTCGTTATCGGCTGTGCTAAGGCAATGAGAGATAGGTGCGAAGAGAGAGAGAGTATGAGGCGAGAGAGCGCAACAGATGAGAGGGAGCCAGACAGCAGCCTGGTTGAGAAAAAAAATTTGCAGCTGCAGCAGCTTACTTTGCAAAGATCTAGCGCCTTGTCAGGTGAAAGGAATTGTTCACAGTTCTGCCTGGGTTGCGCCTTGGAGAATTCCAACAATCTCTTCGTGAGTAAGGAAGCAGGGTGAATGAACGCAGGAGTTGGCACTGTCGTACCTCGAAATAGCTCCAACGCCTTGCCTTCACCGCTGCGATCGTTGCCGCTATACCTCTTTTCAGCGATTTCCGCGCGCTCACGCGATGTGCTTTCTGGTGTACTCCCTCTTCTTTCCGCGTTGTATTTTTCCGTCGACGTTTTTCATACAATAAAAACACTTGAGAGTTTCTATGGACCCTTGCTTTTTCTTTACTCATGACTCACTTCGCACCTCTTCCTTTCAATTGAGAACTAAGTAACACACCAATTCGACAGTGACTCGTCTCCTTAGGCCTGATTTGCCCTTTTTGACATTGCCTTATTCATATTGTATTTGTGCATTAATGTCAGCGCATACTAAAATGAGCCTGCTCATGGAAAATAACGTGTATCACTCTGATGTGACAGCTGTGTAGCGTTCCTTTGCACCGTGCGTTTTGCATTTTTGTTACTTATAGAGCGCAGTCTTACGTTTTCAGGCCGTCGTGGAATGTCACGAAGAAGTTTTAAATAGAAGACTCTGGCTTGTCCGCTCCTTCGCTTTGCTTATTCATGAACACTTGGCTTACATTTAGTGGTGGTAATAAAATTAGGTGACGATGCTTTTTCGACAGACCTTTTCCAAAGAGGTCACAGTAGAACAAACCCGAAATGGAATAACTAAACGTATGGAGTTGAAATATCAACGACAATAATGAACTATGGTTCGCCATAAGTAGGTGGACCAAAGTCCAAACTCCATTATCAACAACCGCTTTGGTATTTTCGATAACCGCAAGGGAAAGACCAAACTCCTGGACGGTTTTTATAATTCTGTCAAAGCAGCCAGCTGTCGCCTCCTTATGACTTATGTGACTTCAGCAGACCCTCAAGGATTGAGCCTGGTATGGTGCGCATGGGTCCCGGCGCGCTTGCATGGTCGAAGATTCTGGAAGGAGGCGCAGAGCTCTCGATAGTCTTGCCATTCGTTCAGTACGCATGTCGACAACGTCGAATGTAGCGGTTCACTGTTAGTCTTTACGGCGTACTCTCCCCTTACACTTCATTTTAACGCTGTTTTGGTCACCAGGCGTCGGGCAGATGGAGGGTGGATGATCACGAAGGCCTGAAAAGTAACGCGGGACCGATAGCACGTCTCTCCCTTCAAGGAAGCAAGCGCTGATCCATGAGTTCAGGCCGTTGTGTTCCTAGATCGTAGAAGATGTTTATTTTACTCATAGGTATTTATTCGCGATCAGATTTTATTCGAGTTTATGGTACTTATTTGTGTCTTTTATATGAGTTCTCTAACAATAATCCCACCCTTGAATGCACTATTTTATCGCTCAAGTTAGACATAAAACACATGCTGGGGCTGCTAGGGCCGGTGACGCTGTTGCCTGCGTGGCAGGCGGCGAGAGCGCCAACGACACGTTATGGTCTTGTCCTCGGGGGAAAACGGAAGAAGGACGTAGCGCCCCACCATTGCGCCCGCATCCGTGAAGCATGAGTCCACTCTCGGCTCTCTGCCCCAACCCTCTTGGCTCAAGCGACCAGTACGTTCAGAAGCGTATGACTCGCATGGGGAGCTCAAGGACGAGTCTACATAGAACTGACTCGGTGGCTGCTTGTTCTGTCGTCAGTGCGGTAGGAGTTTCATATCTTTTAGATCGTATGCTGATGCATGCGTAACGGCCGTTGCTTCCGATGGGGCGACGAACTGTCAGTCGATGAAAATCGCGTAACATGCATATGATGTAAGCGCAAAGACCATCACACAGCATTCTGCTAATGAAACCAAGACGTAGTCGGCGATATCGTAGTAGAACGTTATACTGCACGCACACATAAGGCCCACAGAGTAGCCGCCGCACTGCGAGAAGAAGCAAAGGAGCAGGAAGGTTTCACGTATGCTAGGCAACAAAGTCAACAATATCTGAAATAGGATCAGCAATCGCAAAGAGGTGAGTCGAAGAGTTCTGTTGCCTTCGGGTACTTTTCTGTCTCTGTTATGTTATTTTCTAGCGTCGGCAAAGATTCTATTTCTGTATTCATCGCTGTACGCAAGTTTGTTTCGTCACATCGTAGGAGTGACTCACTTATTTTTACCACAACGTAATCCGAGCACGGGCCCTAGGTCCAGACCATCATTCATCCATAACGTGATTTGTGGCACCATGTGGTACGAGCCTATGTCAGCTCGCACAGGCGAGGGGTACGTGTCGTAGTTCACCATACACGTGAAGGTCATTGTTGCGCAATGCAATCCCCCCTTGAGTGGTAACCGGTTCCTTCGCTCGACCCCTGGATATTTTATCTTCGCTTCAATTGGTCCATGGCATTCTTTCGCCTGGCGAGGTAAAATCTCCACTTCACACAAAATCATTTTCCAGGTGCGATGCAAACTCGCAATTGTGCATAAAAGCTGTGCTCATGGAGTCAGATCAGCGGCTGTTGCCCCGTCGAGCCCTACGTCTCATACCGCCTTCCATCATAGATTCATTGTGCTCTCATTATACATTTTGTTGTAGTCCCGACATATTGTAATCGTAGGGGAACCGACCATGATCTACCGTTGAGAACAACAGCTCTCGAACCCAGCGTAGATGGTCAGGTCCAAATGAACCCTGCGGTTAATTAACTTGTGCGTGCATGTAGGTGCCTAGCCGCACTAGGTGAGGACGTGGCATTCAGTACCGCTGCCGTTGAGACCCTTTTCTTTTTCGCCGCTTCCGTGTCGTGAATTCTGCACGACTCTTATAGTGTTACGCCTGGTAAAGGCGCGCGAGTCCCGGTGCGCTTGTCTAGAAGATTCTGAAAGAACACAGAGATGCAAGGCTCGCGTGCTCTTGCTCTTCGTTCATTTTTCACGTCGCCAGCGCCAAGACTTTCCGTTCGCTCGAGCCCTTCAAACGTACGGGAAGCAGCAAGGCGTTTATGCGACTATATTGGGACTCTATTAGAATTGCTCGTACCTGCTGCTTGATGATCTTCACCTCGCTGATGACGTCACCAAAGCTCTTGTCATCTCCCACGTTGAGCTGCACGACGAAGATCTCCAAATAAACAGTTTTGAAAAAAGTTAAGATTCGAGAAGATAAGATGGAACAAAAGCGGTTAAAAGATGGCTGGTTCAAGATCAGAAGGTTATATTATAGAATGAGACTCCTCATTTGTCATCGCTTTCCTTTTTCGTCAATAAAGAAGGATGTCCTTCGAAAAGAATGGGAAAAAAAACTTATTATTAAGTATGTAATGATGTGTGTGCTTGGCATATTATTGTTCAGAAAAATGAGTGGACATTTTATGAATAAACTTTTGGCTTAAACACCTTCAGCTGTACTGTTTTACGTGCAGATCTGAGTCTATCGATTCATTAAACAGAAGCTACGTAAGAAAGACCTCCTTGAGTGCAAAGTACTGCGGGGAGCCATTGCTGGAAACGGTCCCACGCTTACGAGCTGTGTAAACGCAGCCGAACGCTCCGGCGCCAAGCTGGTCAAGCAGATCATATTCGGCCACTCGACCAATGGGTGCACGCTTCTGATTTACCCCTTCCCATGAAGCTTGCAGTTCCGATGCAGTTGTGCTTGCCTGAAAATTAATAGCTATCTTAGGTGCCTTCCGCAGTTTCACTGAGGCGGAATGTGAGTCAGCAGATCTCCACAGCGAGCGGTGAAAATGGTTCGTAGATGGCGCCCCATATGGGTGCGCCATATACAGTTTGAGCGGCAGCAAAGGTGAGCCATCTTGCCTCAGCTGCTTTCTTCGCAGTTGTTGCGCACTATAGGAACAGAGATCTCCTGACTCACCACATAGGGCTATTGGTCAAACTAACGATGAGTTTAGAATATTCGATGGCAAGCGGTCGATAAGCCGACAAATCTTGGACGTAGTGACCAATGTCGATGAACTGCTCGAAAAACGCGATGGGGAAGACTTTCTTGAAGAGTCCACGGTTCCGCTCTAACGAAAACAGGATGCGCAGCACGCGAAAGATCGAGCACTGAAACGACCCATTGTTAACAACTGCAATTCTAGAGTCCAGCAATCGACTGACCTGAGTGCTTCTCCAGCCCTGGTTTTCGACAAGTCGCTCGTCTTCAGCACTGAGCAGCAGGGCTTTTCCGAGTAGATAGACCCCGTTGTTGTTCACCAAATGGTACTGATTTGAGTCGCATTGGCATAGTTGAGCTAATAGGGCGCATAGTCCTGGAAGTATATGGGCAGAATATGGTTGCACTCATCAGATGCCAGACTCTAACAATTTGCCTTCTTCCGAAATGCAGTACCTGTGACCATCGCAATCCAGTCGTTGAGCGCTTTCGCAGGTGCTTTCAAATCGACGAACTCGGCCAAAACAAGCGAAATCCCGCCCAACTGCACAATCTGTCAAAAGAAACAATGAAAGGTTACGGGATCAAAAACACGAATTTGTACACTTGATGTTTAAAAGGTGCGTAAGAATAAATGCGCCCTGGTCAATTATTAGGTTGTCGGAAGTCTTGAGCCACTTTGCACTTTTTTTCAAATTCATTTATTTTCTTTACAACAACCAAAAATCAACCAATATATGCACTATCATTATCGACAACATATTGCCATTTCTCAGGCAACTTATGGATGCCGCTTGCATAGAACTCCCGCGGTTTTGAGGCGAAGGATTCTCTAATGCACCTCTCGAGGTGACCCAGATTGTCAAACTTCCTATCTTTCAGATGATTTGACAGTGACAGGAATAGGTGGTAGTCTGTTGGCGCTACTCTGGTGAGTACCGTGGGTGGGCCAGAACGTGCCAGCCTAAGGTCTGAAGCTTTTTCTGGGTCTCCTTTGCAATATGTGGGCAAGCGTTGTCGTGCAAAAAGTAGACTTTCCTCTGTTTCTCACGAAGGGCTGCAGCGACACGATCCAATTGCGCACAGTGGACTTCGGCGGTGACAGTAGTGTTCGGTGGTAGCAACTCCCAGTGAACAATTCCTTTGCTATTCCACCAAGCACTAAGCATTGCCTTTTGGGGATGAGGTCCTGGTCTTGGGGTCGGAATCTCAGGTTCACCGCGTCCAAGCCGCTGACGCTTCCGCGTGTGGTTCACGTAGAGAACCCACTTCTCGTTGCCGGTGATCAGGTCCTCGAGCCATGCGAAAGTTCTCTAGAACGTCAAAAAGTTTAGGCATGCATCTCTCCTCGTCTGGAGTTGGTAGCCACTCAGCTCATAAGGTATCTACATGCCGTATTTCCATTTTTTTCCTAGCAAATGCAAATGAGCAGCCACTGTATCATGATGACTCTGGAGCTCTTCTGCCAGTTCTCGGGTACCGCGCCTTAGGTCCTCTTCAATGAGTTTCAGGACACGCTCATCATCCACTCTAACCGGCCTGCCTGATCGTGGTTTTTTGCTCAAGTCGAAGTCGCCATTTTCGGCAGTCGAACTTGCTTTGAGTCGAGAGCGATTTTTTCAGCCATGACTGTTGCGAAACGATACGGGAGAATGGTATGAGGAACGCACTGACCAGCCCTTACTTTTATTTCGCAATGAAGCTTCCAAAACAATCCCCATAGATTTCGCAACATGAAGATGAAAATGGCCCAAGACTTTTCCGACAACCACTACCACTTGAGAAGTTCAGTCAGAGAGTTCTCAGCAAAAAGGATGGAATCGAGTAAAAACAAGTTGGTTTTGATCAGTACTGTTCCCAGGTATGCCACATTAACGGCCTCCATTCAAAATCCTACTAGCGTTTCGTGCGTTTTTGACTCATTCAGTGAAGTGCAGGACGAGACGGTGCACATGTAAACTTTATATTACCATACGCACTTAGTGTCAACTAACAGACTTACAGGAGGCCCAGTTCACTAATACGGGACTTTATGGAGGAGCCGATCCCCTGACAACAAGAGCAATAGCAGTTTTGCGTCTCTTTATCTCACTCCAACTTGTTAGGATCTGATAACACATATTATGAGGTTATACATGTTCGTAATCTGATCCATAGAGCAGGCTGCTTGCTCTACTAATGTCTGCTTGAGCTGAAAATCTTGAGAAAGAGCTCTGCATTAGGTCTCACCCTAGCATATGGACTGTAAAGAATACAAACCGCTACTGCAACACCTGTCACTTTCGTGAAAGAGCCAAATGTTAAGGTACAAATAATAGGGTACACAAGAGCATCATAAGTGTTATGGCGAACTTACTTGATTGCAGGCTGCACTTGATGATAAAAAGGGCCGAACACAAATGCTGTTCTTAATACTTGTGTAGGTTTGGATGGTACGTAGAAGCGCTGCATCCCCCTTCATTTCCATGCTGCTAGGGAAATTCTCTGAATCCCTCACATCTCATTGAAAACGAGACGGTTTACTGGTATGGGCTCATTTCAGAGAGAACAATACTGCTACCGGTTTTCGATCTGTTTTTTTTTGGTTGCTGTGACCGACGTAACCGTTTCCTAATATCATGGGAGGGACTAAGTGATCATTTGAACGTTAACGATTTTGAAGGGAGTTAAATGCTCGGTGCTCAATGAACTGAAAATTGGTGTACAGGGTGGGGCAAAATTACTGGTGCACTAAATTTTCAATGGCATTTTGACAGTAATTCTCACAAATCAATTCTAATTATCAATATTATTTACCACAAACATGGCAATACAAAAAATGTTAATGCTTCTCAAAATGATCTCCTATAGCCTTCACACAGTCCTTCAGACGTTCAACAAATGCTTCGCATCTGGCACGCTCGATCGATTTGGCCCCAAGATTTTGAAAGTGCCGCCTTAAGAGAGTCCAAGTTTGGATGTCTTTTAGAACACGCTTTGCTCTCCAAGATGGAACACACAGAGTGATCCATCGGGTTTAGATCAGGAGAACTGGAGGGCCATTCGTCGTGTCTGATGAAGTCGGGCAGGTGCTCGGCTCCTGGACCATCTTTGCTTTGTGTGCTGGACCAGAATCGTGCTAGAAGCACCAGTAGGCTTCTCCGAAATGAGAGTTAACCCACGGTTTGTAAACTTCCTCCAGGATATTCTTGTAAACCTCTGCGTTGAATTTTACACCAGCTTCAGCGAAAACAAGTGGGGTCTTCCCCGTAGAGGTGACTCCTCCCCAAACAAGAATGTTCTGGGGATGTTTCGCTCTTTTGGAGTCTTGCCTTTGCCTTGGTGGCATCTGCAAGTGATCCTGCAATAATCCTCTTATTTTGGGAGTTGAAGGCTGGATTCAGAGTAAAAATCTTTTCATCACTGAAAACGATGTCTCGGGCGCGTGCCACCGTGAATCGCTGCAGCAGCTTCTTGCATCTCTCCAATCTCCTTTTCTTCATAATGTCCGTCAGGAGTTGGCATTTCTGCAAGCGATAGGGGAACCTCCTTAGCTTACTTCTGACAATCCTCCTCATTGACCTCGCGCTTACTCCAACGTCTTTCGCCATCTGGCGCATCAATCTCCTGGCGTTCCTTCGAATTCTTTCTCTGACGAGCCTCACATTTCTTCAACTCGTAGCTGTTGTGGTACGTCCTCTTCCTTTCTTGTCCTCTTCGGTTTTCAGTTCTTTATAGCGTCTTACTGTATTCTAAAGAGTTTCAAGGTACGGAAAGGATCTTCACAATTTCTCTTGTTTGCTTGCCGTCGTTGTGAAGTTTGATGATCGCGCTCTGTAGGTCAGAACGACGGCCCGTTTCGTATTCGAGTACGTAGGATTACGCAACCTCCAGGCAACATATCACAAGCGAGTGAAACAGGAAATCTCCAAGAAGTGTTAAAAATTCAAAACGTATAGGTGCGCCAGTAATTTTGCTCCCACCCTGTAGAGCCCCCTTCACCCTCCCTAGTTAGGCAGCAAACTTGTTTCACGAGCAATTTGCCTTAGTTGTTTGGTGCTCCTCGTTTGAAAGTGATAAAAATCAATGAAACGCCGTGAAAAAATCTTGTGCAAGTCTAAGTCCCAGATTTGGATGTGCGAAGGCGGAGCGACTAACCTCAGTAGAAGTTTCCGGATCTTCCGCTAGTTGAGCTAGCGACCACGCGACATGCCACTGAAGCCGCGAGTTTCTCACTGAGAGTAATCTAAACGACTTAGATCCATAAGCTTGAATATGGCTTCTGATCAAATGTTTTTCACGCACCCAACCAGCAAAGGAACTCCATCGTAGATTCGAATTTGTTCTCTGGCTTGCTCTTCGCATGAAAGAATTCGAAGAAGGCTAACGCAGAGCCTGTAAACTTGAGCGTAACCCCATTTTACTCGAGCTCATGATCAGAATCGATAGTAAGAGGCCACTGCATGACTCCGATACCGCCCACATCCCGATACATAATCAAAAGGATTCCTTCCGTTTACAGTATGTGGTTTTGGTGAGGAGAATCCGATTAAGGAGGATCGCCAAAAGAAAAGCAAAAGGTGACAGCCGTCCTCTGAATGCATCAGACGTGTGTGCAGCAGCCTGCGCTGTAGAAGGATGGCCTCACCCTGACCTGAAACTATGATATTGGCTTAAGCCACTGATGCAAAGGTTCACTACTGAAGTATACCAACTGGGTCATCAAGTTATACGCGTCAAAGCGTGGCGCGTCATGTGGCGTTTTCGCAGCAAAAGGTGCGCTAGTTGCAGCGCACTAGGACGCCAAACCCTTTCTGTGCCCCGCCTCCGCCCGTGCTCCGCCCACCATTGTGTTGATATCGGCGGCATTATTCGTTTTTTCTCGATGGAATATTGCACTTCGAGCGGCCGTGTCCTCAAACTCTTCTGTGGAGTGTGTTATCAAGCAAGACAAGTTTCATGATGTCGGCTATCGGGGTCAACACGTGCACGACGACACCACGACACCCTCGTTGGTTAGAGGCCAGCGCGGAACTGAATGGGTCCCATTTTGTGTGTTCTCGACGAATTTCTTTGCTTTTTTCGCCACTGGAACATTATACAGCATACCCATTTCCACTGTGAATCCCATCCAATCTTATCGTCTTCTCGCTTCAAGTAGTGACGGGCCACGGTCATCGTTTCATTGAAAGCAAATGGACGTGGTATTCTGACAATTAACGGTGAAGCACGGGATAGAGCAACAAAATTGTGGGTTCGAAGCCCTTGCAAAGCCAAAGGTCTTCCGCGTGACCCAACATCCGTGGGGTAAAACTTAACACGGTGTTTCTCCGAGATAATAGCGAAGAGTGGAACGATGAGGTCCTTATTTAGACTTAAAAGGTGGAACAACGAAGCCACTCTTATCCTTCTATTATATAAAGCGCTAACTTTGTGTGTCGGTTTGTGTATCTGTATGTGTGTGTGGATGTGAGCCCTTCCGCAAAATGAAGTGACGTGAGAAGGAAAGCTCAGTGGGAATAAAACAAACGATACAGATGGGGTAGCTTACAGGATTTGAGTATCAATGTTTTGTAGCAGGATAGTTGTGATAACACTCTTAGGGCTCTATAAACAGTAGCTTAGCACACTTCCGTTCATTCCACATGGTGCTGCAGTGGCAGCTGGAGGGCAGTGGAGAGAGGAAGGGAGGATGAGGAAGGGAAGTGAAAAATCTACCGTCATATCATGATTGTGTCCCTTCTACTGTATGAAACACCATTGTGTTGCATACGCGTCACTTCCAGGAGGTGTTGTTGTCACAGGAGGAAGGGACCATAGCGGAGGATAGAAAGCTTGCGCATTAAAGGAAGGTCCCGGCGGTTGACGGGGGACTAATCTGGTTAAAGATAAAAGCGGAAAGAATTAGCCATCCAGAGATGCCATTCCTCTTTCGTCACTTTTCAATGCAATGCTCTATTTTAGCAAGAGGTAAGCTTACTTTTGGGTCAGAAGATCACCCTGAGGAAGGAGTTGAAGACATACGTCAATAGCTGTCGAAGCGCACAATTCGACACGGCAGACAGCTGACCAATCGGCGACCCGGCCGAGAATCTAGCACGAGAATGGCGTTGATATGTAAGTTGCATGGGATCGAACAAAGAAGTGAACCTCTAGAGCTGCTTGCTGAATGGTCATCTCGCGACAGCTCAGAAAGCGAAGCATACACTTGGCGATCTGCGCACGCACGAAGGCCGCCGCTGTTTCTGCGTCATGTATCAGCTTCTGAGTCACATCTGAAGTGATTCTGCATTTCAAGTGCTAATAGAGTGCAAGTGAACAGAACTGACTGAGAAGGAGCCCTGCCGCTTGTGTGTACTCCATTTCATAATTCAAGAAGTTTCGGGAGAGATAGTTGGCAAACTGCAACGAAACTATTAGTGAAGGAGGACGAGCAGGTTACCTGTTCCACCTGAATATAGTTGGAATGTTCTCCTACAGAATGGAAGACATCGATGCAGTCGCGATCGCGGAAGAGCACCCTCACCACTCGGAGAAGGGCACAGACCGACTTTCGCGATGGGCACGAAGCCGTCCATTGCCTGGAAGCATAAAGGCTTACAGTAACTCCTTAGCGTTATGGGCTGAAATTTATCACCCGTTCTGTTTGATTCTTCCTGATAGGTGATTGCAATATAAATGTCGCACTAGCAGTTCACATCAATCGGCAGTGTTTGAATCACCAAAAGTATCTGTGTACTGGGTCAACCGTAGGTTCGAACTGTTCGAACGGAGGGTGGGGGGTCCCATTTGTGTTCTGGAAGGGGAGAGGGGCAGGGTCAACCGTTACGTTGGACCGATATTGGAGCGACGTTGGACCAACGTTCACCGCTCTCCGCGCCGGCATTCACTCTCGCCACCCGCGAGCCGTCTGTTTCTCCGTGCGTACGTTCACTCTCGGCATTACTCTCGTCGTCGCGTTGGACTTTGTCCAACGGACGGTTGACCCTGGAGAGGGGTCGCATTGTGGAGTTACGTTTGGTCATCAGGGGCGCAGGGCGTAGGTGCGTGCGAAACGAAAAAAGTAGCCGCTTCACTGCTTGTATACACCCCCTCCCCTGTTCCGCCCTCCCCCCACGCTCGACGGCTATTTTTGGGGGCAAAGTGGGTGGAGTTTCGGAGTTTTAGGTAGGTTTTAAACTGTGTCAACTGGTCTCAGAATCAAATACTATAGAAGAGGGAGAAGTCGCGGTCGGGGAAGGCTAGTTGAATTGGGGGGGTCGCAACTGGACCCCCTCGAGAGGGGGGTCGCAAAAATCTTGAAAATGTCCGAAGTGACGGTTGACCCTGTCTGTGTATTTATTGAAAAGGGTACAGGTGATAGTGTAGTGAATACTTGATAATAATGAATACGTTTGGCGTAACAATGCGATTTTAAATTCGAATTTTTTGTTTAAGCCATGACTAATTGATAAGAATAACATATAAATGTTCTTCGCCTCCACACAAGGAGAAACTGCTGTTGAATGTTATACATTCCTGTATTCTGGCTTCAGATAGGACATTTTATCCAGGCTCTAGTGTTGAAGGTGATCCCAACTTTTCTAGTTGGAGAGTGGATCACGGTACACAAAGAATATCAGCAGTATTAGCTGCTGCAAACGGTGCGCTAAGAGAAGCATCAACTGGATTCCTGTCAAAGGCGCAAACACCACGCATGATGATAGAGTATCACGGCCGACAGCGTACAAGGCAAGGCCTTAGCGCCCTTGCTGTCCACTAATGAATCGCGGCAGTGTCGTGGTTCTATGGCTTGAACTCCCCTCTTTCTCACTCTACGAGGGACAGCCTCTTTACATCTAAACCCAACCCGTATCTTTAACAAGCTTATGTGCATTGTCGAGTGCATTAAGAAGGGTCCGTCAGCCCAACTTTCAACTTTTGTTCTTGAAATACGGGCACGCTTTACAAACTATTCAAAACATGCTCAATCGAATGATTTTATAGCCCTTCCGTTGCAGCCACTAGAAATGAATCTTTCGAAAGCGAAACATGTATGCAGGAAAGGCAAAACTTTTGTTTCCCAAAAACAACGCCTCTGCTGCTCTTCTTCCCACTCAAGAGAAAACATCTCAGCATCTCTCATTATTTATTAATTTGTTCATTAATTCAATTTCTTACGTATTTATCTATTTATATTAATTACCTTCGATTGTGCGCTTTATTTTGTATTTCGCGTATTTTTGTTTTGCTACATTTCATCTTTATCTTTATAGTGCAGTTCATAATAGAGCGAACAGCAAATGAAGAATTAGCTGAATGTTCATATAGGTTATGAAGAGCAGGGCAATATGGACGTTCTTCAAGAGCTCCAAATCAATCCTTTTCGTGTGGTATGAGTCTGATTTATTATCGTAAAATACAATTTTCTCCCATATGAAGACCAAAAAGATACACTCACAGATTGCAAAGTCTTCTTCGACTGATCGACTCTGCAATTCTCACGGCGAATCCGCTAGAATTAAGCTCAGAAAGTGTCGTGTCTGTCAGCGTCTCTCTGAAAGCAGAAATTGGTTCTTTCTTTGCAAGGCTCCGGATCGTCTGTGTGTGGCATTGCCTGAGCCTGTAAGCGCCTGTAATCATTATTTTGCTTACTTTCGGCCGTTTCAGCGAACAGTATTGTCAGACAATGATTACCTACGACTGGATTGGAGGACATGCTTAGATTTGAAGGGAAGGAAAGCGTCAGAGAAGAAGATCCTTTTGAGGAGAGTAAGTGACGAGTAGGAACTCGACAACTTACAAAAAACTTGTCAGGCATTGTAGTTCGTGTTGAATGTCCGGCTGCGTTTGATTTTCCTGAGCCAAACAATGCAGCACCTAAGCACCCAGCGTCCCCATTGACGTCTTCCCTGAATTGAAACGCCTCCATACGTGATTTAATGAGATCCCGTTATAATACAAAAAAGGAATTGTGTAGAAAATTGTCTTCTGAGAGAATTTTACCTCAGAAATCTGCTGCTATGACCACTGTTCAAGTCATTTCCTGTTTACATGAATATCGACGGTCGATGGATCAAAACCA